GCCAGAGGTCCGGTGGCCAGGTGTGGGCAGGGCTGGTTCCTTCTGAGCGCTGTGAGGGAGCATCCATTCCGCCCCTGCTCTCCGGCTCTCCCAGGCTGGCTCCGGCAGCCGCCACATCCTCGGCTCATAGATGCGTCACCGACCCGTCGGCTTCACGTGGCATTCTCCCTGTGCCTTCACCTCATTAGCTGTCTGTGTGTGTCTGTGTCCAATTTCACCTTTTATCAGAACACAAGTCATCAGAGAGGGGCCACCCTAGTGACCTCCCTTTGACCTACAAAGACCCTATATCCAAGTAAGACCACAGCCACAGGTGCTGGCGTTAGGACTGCATGTCAGTTCACCGTCAGCACACGCTGAATAGGGAAGCACCAGGCGTGAGCTGCAGCTTGGTGCTGCCTGGAAAGGGGTGGCAACGGGTGTCTGTAATCTTGTCACACTCTCGCTCCATTGCCTTGTGGATTTCTGGAGGGTGCTGGAACCACCGCTTGGCACCAGGGTTGCTGAGGGCCCCTTGAGAGGTGACCCACTGCCCTGACACAGCCTGGAGACAGAGCCAGTGGGCTCCTGCACAGGTGTACTGCTCAGTGTGGCAACCAGCACGCCTGGCCAGGGAGCCTGTCCAACCCACTGCAGGCTCCTTTGGGGTGTGCCTTGAAGAGACTCCGAGTCCTGCAGTGGGAGCCTTCTAGAGAGCCTGCCCTAGGCCAGGTCGAATGCCAACAGGGTTCCCAGGGCCTAGGAGGTGCACCCTGGAGTCCTGGGCATGCTCTTGCTGGCAGGGCCCAGCTCCTTGACTGGCAGCTGCTGCAGAGGTGAGAGCCAGCGAAGACGCCTCTCCGGCAGACCTCAAGGACAGGACGGACCTTGCTGCTCTCTGTGCCCTGGTGGTGCGGTGAGCAAGAGAAGCACAGCCCACCAACCAAGTGGACTCAAGACTGTGAGTGTCGAGGTTCGGACATTGCACTAAGGGCGGATCAGCACATGAGCAGGTCCAGCTATCACTGTGAGAGAGAACCACCCAACACGTGGCTTTTTGAGTCTCTCCAGCAACCTGCGGGGGACAAGGGGCCAGCTCCACTGTGTGGGCAAAGGAGAGTGCAGAGAGGACTCATTGAGGTAAGCAGGTGGGAATTGAGCTATGGACTCAACAGACCCCTCGCTTCAAGGCCAGGGCTCACCTGCTGATGCCTGACCTCTGCATCACACAGGAACAGCTCCTGTGACCTCACACACTCACCCACATGTATACACACACACACATATGTTGTAGGTGTGCATGTATAGGACACAGGTCTGCACATGTGCACATACAAGCATGCACACAAACTGACACAGACACACATAGCACATCCCTGCTGGCCACTGCTCAGTTCTTGCCTTTCATGCCCCAACCCCCAGCACCCTCCTCAGCACCCAACGTCACACTCTCTGCACGCCCTAAGGTGTCTAGGCCTCTGCTGCCTACCATATAGGCTGTGTGCGGAGGGACAATGTCCTCTCTCAGTACCCCCGTATCACACAGGATGTGTCCACTGACCCTCTATTTAAGATCCAGTATCACCTCTAACCATCAGGCCTCCAAATGGGTTGAGAGGAGCAGCTGTGAGCAGTAGTGAGTTTGCCTTCACTGGGGGTGACCAAGCGCACACTGGCCACCAGTCTGACCAGTCGTTGGGAGCTGGAGCGTTGGATCCGAGTTTTCACAAATCCATCCCCTTGGATAGTGTGGGGGTACCTCAAATTGGGGTTTCCCAACTACGGTCACCACTCCTCAGGAATGCTCCACACACTGACACAGGGGGCCACTAGGGGGCCACTGTCACAGTGGCTGGTGCCCCCAGCTCAAGGGCCATCTGCTTGCAGCCTGGGACAGACGAGCCCAGCTTCAAGGACCAGTTCTGAGCACTATTCCCAGTCCTGGCCCCAGGCTCACCCTGGAGCCTGGTGCCTTCACACCCATGTGTTGGGAGCCGCCCTGCCTGGTTTCAGAAGCTGTAACCCCCCATGGCTAAGGCTGAGTGAGTGACCTTCGGACCAGAAGCCACTAAGGAGACAAAAACTTATCTCCTTGGCAGGGGCACCACTTCTGCTCCTTTTACTTCATCCATAATTGGCCCCCAGTGCGTGATCGGTTAGCCAATGACGGGTAAGATTCCCCAAGGGGGGAACAATCTAAGACAGGCACGATCATGTGGAGGCCCCAAGGAAGGACTTGGGGGGCTACAGCAAAAGGGGGTGATGGACCCTCGCCCCTCAGCTTTGACAGAGCCTGAGTCCTCATTCTGACTGCGAGAAGTCTCCTAGTCTCCTGGCTACCTTGCTTTCCCTGCCTGATTTAAGCCTGAAACAATGACAGAGGGCGGTGCAGCCTTGTGCTAGAAAGGGCAGGTTCCACAGGGAGATCAGGCCTAAGAAAGAATAGGTAAAATCCGGTGAAACCTGCTTTGCTAAGAATGCTCTCAATTAAATGATAAGGGTCCGGGCAGGAAATGAGTTTGTTTCCCAAAGTTTTGTAGCCCTTTAGCTAACAGACCCTGACTCAGAATAAGCCCTTGTAGTTCTTTGTATGCTGTCTATTGTTTAATCCTTACTGCCTGACAATGATTAATAAACTTTACCTGTATTCCTGTGCAAATTGAAAGCCAATAAAAACCTGCCAAGGCAAGGGTTGGGGCACTCTCCCCTTGAGAGAGTAGCCATGCCATCATCCTTTTTCCTCCACAGGACTCGGTAGTCTGTGTGAATTTGTCTCGTATCTCATCCATAACACCGCGGGCACTGCGGGCTGGTGTCTGTGTCACCCATCTCTGCAGTCAAGAGCACAAACAGGGCCCCCCCCCCGCCCCCAGGGACATGCGCACCTGGGGCCAGGTTATCTGGGGACTTGATGCTTTTCCATCTAGTCCGACAAGTACTGTTGAACACCCACTGTGGACCTGAGTACTGCGGGTGCTGTGCGGGAACAAGAGTTGACTCTCATCTGGCCCAGGGGAATGGGGGTTCCCACACTGACAGAGGCCGATGCCCCCGATGGGGGCGGGGAAGCAGCCTGGCTCTGGGAAGCTGACACCCCCCAGGTCCTAGGGGTCCAGGGAAGACTGCTGTGGTTTCTTCAGGAAAGGTAGACCTCGGTTCCCAGCAAGCCCCACCCTGGGTGAGAGGGGGATGCTGAGAAGTGTATTTCCCACCACAGGGTGGGGCGTAAGACTTCACCCGTCAGGCACAGTGGCTGTTCTGGAGACAGGAGAGCACAGAGCGGAGCAGATGGGGACCACTGCACCCCTCTTCCGAGGCTGCACAGGTATGGACAGGCAGATGCTGAGGTTTTCCTCTGTTGGTACCGCTTGGGTCCCACAGCCAAAAGGCAGTCTGTGCCCTCAAGTTAGGGCAGTTCCGAGATGTTAGCAGGGACTGGAAACTTCCCTTTGGGCTATTTGTTACGGCAGCCCCAGGAATCAACTGCTCCTACCCAAAGGCTCTCCCAGGACCCTCGGGTCCCTGGTGCATTTCCAAGATGAGATTGGCAGATTCTCCACAAGAGTGCTCGAGCTTTCCTAAATAACAGTGTCTCTCTGGGGATTAAGGAGGAGGGGTGGCTGAGTGAGGAAAAACAGTATGGGCAAAGGGTTGGCCCAGGTGTCTGCAACTGTTATCTACGTCTGGGAGGGGAAGAAAGGGTATAAATAGAAAGCTTTCGAGGCCCAGGAACAGGTGAATAAGCAGAAGGCAGTCACGTGTCCTCTGAAAACCACATGCATGGCAGCATGGTGCCAGGCCATGGCCCATAGGAAAGACTAGTGTCTTCTCCTGTCAGCATGACCTGACCTTCCATGTGCCCTCACCAAGCAACAGATGGGGTACACACACCTCGGGTTAGGTTAGAAGTGTGGGCCCAGGCCCCAATTCTACCACTTCCCAACTCCTCGGAAGTTCTCTCATCTGTAAAACTGTGGGAATGTAAGGCACTGTGTGACATGGCCCTCCCTCCCACTGCCTGCACGGGTTCTTCTACAGACTCGCCGCCATAACTATCGTGGCTCCCCCGTCCAAGCATCGAAGAGCACCACAGCATCAACGCAAAGCACCTGGGCCTCAAAAGGTTCTGCTGGGAAGGCAGGCTTGCTGCATCGCCAAAGAAACACCTGGAGCTCTCAGGGGCTGGCCAGGTGCTCTGTCTGCCCACCCAGAGCCTGCCCCATCTAACCCTTGAATTCACGAAACGTCCACATCAAAAGGGACCGGACACCCAGAACTGATTCACCCAGCTCTTTGTGGCACTGAGGATTCCAAAGGACACTGGAGGAGGAACACGGCTGCCCAGAGTCACAGGCAGGCTGTTGCGAAGTGCACGTGCTTTGCCCTCTTTGATTAAACTTCCAGTAACCACATGTCTGAACCCCTTGGAATTCCAGAATTCTTTGTCCTTTCTCCCACCAAATGAGCTTTCTGGATGCCTGGGGCCAACCCCTAAAGCACTGTCTCCAAAGGGAAGGAGCCCACTGGAAAATGGTCCCAGCTCCATCAGGCCTGCTGACAACACTGGTTACCATTATGGCTGATCAGCTGGGTTAGCTTTAGAGTTCAGGGCTTGTGCTCATCAGTCCTACCGCTGCGGGTTTCAGCAGGAGGTGGGGCGTGAGTAACAGGGTGGAGCGAGGGTTACCCCAGGTTGGGCTCTGGGCACGCTCCCACGCCGTGTGCACTGGAGCTGGCTGGGCTCGTACCAGTCCCTGGCCTCCGCTATTTAGTGCCATTTAGTCGGCAACCAGTGGGTGCGTCAGGCCGCAGGGGTCGGCGTGACTCCCGGCGCGCGCCAGGGAGGTCCCGTGGGCAGGCCACGCCGGCCACGCGCTCCTGCCCCCACGCCGCGCACCTGTCCTGGGCGTGGCCCCAAACCCCTGCCCCGAGGTCCCGCCCCGCCCCGCCCCGGCCGCGCGGCGTGCTGGTTGGCCGAGGCAGCGCGCTATGCTAATGAGCCTGACCCTGCCCGGCACCTGCCGCGGAGCTGCGGACCCGCGTTCGGTGGACTCGCAAGTGAGACCCGCGCCTGCGAGGAATAATGCCGCGCTCCTTCCTGGTGAAAACGCACTCCAGCCACAGGGTCCCCAACTACGGGGAGCTGGAGACCCAACGAGGTAGGGGCTGCCGGGCTCCGCAGCTGCCGCCCAGGGCTCGAGCTTCCTCGGGGCAGGAGAGGGAAGCCCCTGGGAGCGGGGAACACCTGTCCCAGGTAGGAAGAGAGGCGTTAGCTCGCCAGCACGGCTGGCTCCGAGGCCTCGAGGCTGGAGGTAGGTTGGTGGTCCCAGTCCAAGTCCGCCGGAGCGCGTGGGCATTCTCTCCACTTAGAGAGGTTTTTAGGCCCCCAGTCACTCTGGGCTGTCCTGCTGTGGCCTGGCGCGCCCATCCCAGCTAAGGGGACCAGGAGCCATCTTCCTGGGGCAGGAGGTTTGGGAGGCGTCCCGGAGATGGTGGGAGAGACCTGGGGCTGCCGTCCAAGGACTCCCGAGGAATATTCTGGTTTGGGTGGCGAGCACAGGGTCGGGGAAGAGTGACCATGGGCTCTCTGGTGCCAAGGCCCAGCTCATTTGGTGTTCCGAGGGCTCCTCCTGTGCCTCCTCGCTCCTCCTGAGGGTCTCCTTCCCTCTGGCCTCCCCTCACCCCAGTTGAGGTTGCCCAGAACAGGCTGGGCTAAAGGGCTGCAATCCTATTCCCAACGAGCTTGGTCGGGATGTGGGAGTCCAGGACCCAGCACTGTTCCCTCGATCCCGTTCCCTACTGGGCATCAGGACTCGAAGAGGCCCCAGAGTAAAGCCTCTAGAGCAGTCAGAGCTGTCCCTCCTAGCTCAGCAGCTTCTTGGGGCTAAGACCCCCTGGGGGACTGCTTCATGACTCAGGGTGGGAGAGGGGAAGGGGAGAGACTGTGGTAGCCTGAGCACCTCAGAGCCTTTATTGCTCTCAGAACCCTGTGTGGGGAGGGAGTCTCTGGCCAGTACCAGCGTGGGGCCGCCACCAGGGGGCACCTTCCAGGACCAGAAGCCTCACTTCTGGGTTCTGAGATCAAGTTCGAGTCACCAGCAGCGATTTTATAAAATAAAATAGAACAGAAACCATCAGAGTGCAGTGCACCAGATAAAGGAAACTTTTTTCTAGCTTTATTTTCAAATTAAATTTATAGGGGCGACATTGGTAAATAGGGTCATATGGATGTGAAGTGCACATTTCCATGATCCATGATCTGTATATCGCGTGGTGTTCCCATCACCCACAGTCAAACCATCTTCCATCTGCACATATCTGGCTCCCTCTGCCCTTCCCTACTCTCCACCCTCCCCCGTAACCACCATACTGTTGTTTGTGTCTGAGTCTCAGTTTTATATCCCACATCTGAGTGAAATCATATGGTTCTTAGATTTTTCTGACTTATTTCACTTAGCATGATATTCTTAAGGTCCAGCCATGTTGTTGCAAATGTCAGTATTTTATCCTTTCTTATGGCTGAGTAGTATTCCATAGTATGTGTGCACCACATCTTCATTACCCAATTCTCCCCTATCGAAGGCGGCTTTGGTTGTCTAAGAAAACTTTTGTTCAGATATATATGATGGAAAGCCAACCTTACATGGGTCACAGTTTTAAAAGTTTAAAAACCATGTGTAGGGTCCGGTCACACAGTGTACCCACTTCACTAATTGAATATGCAAATATGGGCAGCTCTGCAAGGCCCAGTGATAGGCTGTCCAGGAACAGCCTTGCAGCCCATTAGCTCCCTGCTTCCCTCCCTCTCCCCTTCCTTTCCCAATCTGGGGCCAGAGATTTATTTTAACACATAAGGAATAAGAAGTGGGTTGTGGGCTATTTGGAGATGTGGGCTTTGGGGAGATGCAGAACTGCCACCTGCTAACATGTTCACTTTGAGGGCCTGCCACTCCAGGTCAAGGATGGGGTATGCTGGCTCTCGAACATGGTTGTAACAGGCTGAGGGCAGAGGACAATCCCTCTGGACCAGGACAGCTGGCAGGAGGCTGTCTACATGCACCAATGTCAGATATCGAGGGGTGACCGGGAGGCGACTGGAGGCTAATTAGTTATTTTCCATGGGGTGGCCTGCTGTCACGTGCTCTGAATTAGCGATGCGTGGGAGCCTGGGGGTGCCCTGGGAGCTGGTCCTGTGGGTGGACAGGAGCTCAGAGAGAGGGTCCACCCTGCCTGGCAGTGAAGGAACCTTCCTCGGCCCCATGAAAGCTGTTTCGGGACTCTGTAAGGTATTTCTCTTTGTTTGTTCTTAACAAGGAACTGAGATTCCTGCTCTAGATCCCATGGTTTCCAGGCTGCTGTCACTTCCCCAGCTGCCACCTCCATCTTTCAGGTCTTTCCCTTTATGCCACGCTGCCGATGGCCGAAAGACAGGCTTGGAGCTGGACCTGAAATTAAGTTAGAGAGCAGACCACGTTGGGACTGAGTCTTCACCTTTCCTTTCTCTCTCCTTCTGCCCTTCTAGAAATCAATGGCTCCTGTTCTGCCTGTGGGGGGCTGGTGGTGCCCCTCCTCCTCCCAGACAGCATGGCCCCTCCCATGCCTGGTGACCTTGCCCAGCCCTGGGACCACATCTCTGGCATCACCTGCATCTCCCTGCCCCTCCCGGAAGCTCAGAAGGCCTCTGAGCCATTGGACCCCTTGGACGTCAGCTTGATGGACCCTCGTGCTGCCCGGGCTCCCAGCATACCCCTCAAAGACAGCCTGAACCACCTCAACCTGCCCCCACTGCTGGTTCTGCCCACACGGTGGCCTCCAATACTGGGCACAGATGGGGACCGGGCTCCAGACAGACTCCTGAGGGCTGAGCAGGCCCCCTACTCCCCAGGCGGCTTCCAGTGTACCCACTGCCACAAGCCCTACCACACACTGGCTGGGCTGGCCAGGCACCAGCAGCTGCACTGCCACCTGCAGGCTCAGCGCTGCTTCACCTGCAAGTACTGCGACAAGGAGTATTCCAGCCTGGGAGCCCTCAAGATGCACATCCGCACGCACACGCTGCCCTGCATCTGCACCATCTGCGGCAAGGCATTCTCTAGGCCCTGGCTGCTTCAGGGCCACATTCGGACCCACACAGGTAGGACAGCGTCGGGTCCACCGGAGGAGTCTGAGCAGAGGCAAGAATGGGACCTGGAAGTTACAGAGAGGGAAGGGGGGATTTTATGAACAGGAGGATGGACGTTCGCACAGCTTTTGCTCTCCAGTGTATCCATGTCTTGGGGCCGCAGCACAAAGTCCCACAATCTGGGGGGTCTCGAAACATCAGCAGTGTCCTCCCTCACTGTCTGGAGGCCAGAAGCCCAAAGTCCAGGTGTCCCAGGGTTGAATCCTTCCTGTCTTTTCCAGCTCCTGGAGGCTGCAAGCATCCTTGGCTTGTGGCCACATCGCTCCAACCTCTGCTTTCGACCTCACATGGCCTCTCCTCTGCGTGTCTGTGTCCAAATTTCCCTCTGGTTATAAGGACACCAGTCATATTGAATCAGGGCCCGCAAACTGCAGCATGACCTCATCTTAACCCGATGACATCCGCAAAGCCCCCATTTCCAAATAAGGTCACAGCTTCAGGTACCGGTGTTTAGGACATGGATGTCTGGTTTTTGGAGGACACAGTTCAACCCCTAACACCCAGGAAAGTGTAGGATGCACAGAACTTCAGCAGGATCTGACTTTCCATATTTCACAGCCTTCCAGAATTCTAGAAGGAGGAGTGGGGAGCAAGGAAGGCCTGGGCTGGGGGTAAGAACCCCAGGGGTCATAGTTATCTGAAGGGCAGAGATGACAGCTGGGACTTCACTCAGAAGTTGGGGACCTGGAGCAAACCTGTCCCTGGGTAAGAGGGTGGCCAGGAGCCCGCAGGAAACAAGGGAGAGAGGAGCAGCTGTGGCGAGGAGACAAAGATAGAAACAGAGAAAGGAGAGGAACGTGGACAGGAGGCTGAAGGAGGCCCGAAAACCTTGGCCTTCTCGTGCTGTATTATAGCGTACGGCCCAGAAGGAGCAGAAGGCCCCTGCCACGGAGAGGGGCAGCTAGTAGCTGGAGTGGACCTCAGTCCGGGGCTTCGCCAGAGCCCAGGACTTTGTTGAGCACACTGTGCGAAGTGGGAGACAAGAACAGAGGACACAGGTCCCAGAATAAGTGTCTGGTCCTGATCACAGACCCACAGTTGCAACATGCACTTTCTGTAACAGGGGCCTCCCTAAACCTAAGTCACGGCTCTGGGACTGGAATCTTCTGAGTCACACGTGGGCAGAGGCTGGAAAGAAGGGTTTCACTGGAAAGGAGCCACTTTCCTTCACCCTTCACTAAGGATGTCACCCACCATCAGAGGCTCAGTGCTCCTGTTCTGGGAGCCAGGATGGGGCAGTCCCCACGGGAGGCTGACCTGGCTGGGAGTGTGCCTAGGTGTCGTGCAGTGGGGACCTTGGGCTGGTATCTCTTGGGACTCAGTAGGGCTGCAGGACGGGAAGTCGCTCTGCACAGACAGAGAACAGGTGACTCTCAATGACCCTTCCTTTTATACTCGTCAAATCATCCTGGGGCCAAGGCCCCAACAGAAGGGCTTTGTCCAAATCCCTGGTGGTCTGACTGGAGGCGGCCTGAAGGATACAAGGACTTTAGCTATTCCTAAATGCCCTTCTGTTGCAGGAGGAGGGCTCACTCCTTCTAGCACCCCTTCTGGGAACCTGGCCAGTCCCTACCACTGGCTTTCCGTGGGCAGGTGCAGCTGCCAGAAGGTGCCCGTGCTTCTCACATCCAGATCTGGGTGGCAAAGGGCCTCAGGAGAGCTCTTGCAGAAGCAGAGAAGGATCCAGCAGCTGTGGTAGATGTAGCAAAGATGTGCTGGACCTTAGCTCTCAGGAAGGGTTATATATGTCATTCCACCCTGTCCACTTCGGTGCTTGTGTGGCCTCTGGGCCTTAAAGTCTCCTCCTTAGGCTGGGCTCCAAGGCCCCTGTCACCTGTGTCCTAGGGAGGGGGTGATGAAGATAGATGAATTGGAATTGAATGAGCATTTGGAGAGGGAGGGATGGGTTATAAACAGGGACACTCGAACCTGGAGGCCACCTTCCCAGCACACTCCAGATAGTCACACACCTGGCCCTTCCCTCTTCCTTCCCCAGGGGAGAAGCCCTATGCCTGCTCTCACTGCAGCAGGGCCTTCGCCGACCGCTCAAATCTCCGAGCCCACCTGCAGACACACTCTGACACCAAGAGATACCAGTGCAAGAGCTGCGCCAAGACCTTCTCCCGCATGTCACTCTTGTCAAGGCATGAGGAATCTGGCTGCTGCCCCTGTCCCTGAGAGGTACGGCTTTCGTGCAGGTAGGAAGGACAAGACCTCAACCCAAAAGGCCACAGCTGGCGCCCCTCTCAGCCGCCTCCTGCTGCCTGGTGCACTCAGAGGAGCCAGAAGTCCTGGAGGGCGGGAGCTCACTGCCCCCACCCCTGCCCCCGCCCCCACCCCGGGCCCTGCTCTCTAGCCCGCCCCCCTGCTTTCCACAGCAGGCGTCTGTTCCGAACCAGAACAGCCCAGTGGGCCGCCAGGGTGAGCGAGGGCTGGTGCAGGTCTCCCACCTCACTCTGCCCACTCAGAGAGCACTTCTCTCCCAGGGGTGACTTTCAGCCAAACAAGAACCACTGTCTCATTTTCCACTTGCTCTGGTTTCAGCTTCTGTTTCTTTCAGAGTTAAAGACTGATGGGGAACTGTCGCCAGCGTGGACAACCCTGCCATTAAGATGATGGACAGGGCTGCCTATGGAGCTCTTCGCAACTGCACGTGAACAGCCTGACTTGTGCCGAGCACATTGCGCAGTCTAGCCCGCATGGGCGTAGCTACCTCAAGGCTCACCTCCCCCTGCCTTTGGTTTGGAATCTGGGCCACGCTGCCTCGTGTCACACATGCGCACCCACGCCCTCCCGATCTCTGAGACGGAGCAGCACCGAGAAGACCAGCAGCTAGGTCCCCATCCACAATTGTGGGGCAATAAAGAGTCTATACATTCAGGCCTGTTGTGTCCTCTGGGGGTCTATGTTTTCCCGGTCCCTTGCATCTACAAAGGAGGCCCAGCTCTCAGAAATTCTCCAGAGGTGGCAGGATTCCTGGCCACAGAGGAGGAGGAGGAGACTAGGAGTCAGGGCATCAACCTGTGATGCTGCTGTGGGTTGGGGAGCAAGGCTGCAGGAGGCAGGGTCTAGGTGAGCACAGGTGCCTTCTTCTGGAAGACAGACAGGTGCTGGGAATGGATCAAACAGTGTGGAAGGATGACTAAAGGGCAGGAACCTGGGGATGAGCAAGCGCTTGCAAGAGAGGGGTGTGGAAACTATAGCTGGGAGGAAGCACCAGGTGGACTGAGCACTGCGTGGCTGGATGCTCATTTCCCCCAAGGTCTAGGTTAGAAGAGAGAACCAGTGCTGTGTCCGCATGTCTGTCCACTGTCACCAAAGGATTTGTCTTCATTGCACCATCTCTCATCAAAGGGCCACATCCCCATGTCTGCCCACAGTACTGTTGCCTTTTTCCAGCATGCATCTCTTGAGGCCACAGGCATCTGAACTGAGTGAGTGGCCCAGAGCTTCGACCCCACCCAAGACACACATGCCTCACCAAACCAACTCAGATGCCAACACATAAGCACCTGCCCCCCCCCACTGCCCTAGTGTCCTGTGCCCACTGCACCAGCGTGGTGGCATTATGTCCTTCTCACAGGGGGTGTCCTTTCACCCCCAGGCTCCTGGGTGGTCACCTATTGGACTGGTCCTGCCTCTTGCCAGCGTGTCTCAACCATCTTCAGCAGGACCCTTCAGGGAGGGTGGCATCCAGGACCGAAGAAGGAGGCCTGAGTCTAACAGAGACTGACTGAGTCCTTGACGTTGGGAGGGGACACCTGCTCCTCTACAGGAAGGGTGGCCTGTGCTGCTAGCGGCTCCACTTCTGTCCCCAGCCAAGGGAGAGTTAGGCTCCTTCGTTCTGGCCTTGGAATGGAGCCACACAGCAAGCTGCAGAGGTCTCCCTCTCAGCCCTGAGCCACCAGACGCTGAGCCACCTTTACATGTGAGAACATTCGGGAGCATTTACCAGGACCACACTGGGTGCTAAGTATCCTACTCTGCAGCCACCTCTGCTGCAGTTCCAGCCTTGGTGGCCCCCACTGTAGACTCTACCTGATGCTCCTCAGAGGATGAAGGGACCTGGGTGGCTGGTGTAATGATGGCCATTGGAGGGGCCTGTGGGCATCCCAGAGGAAACTGACCTTGGTCTTGGGCTTCTTTGGACCAAGGTGATCTTGATGAAGCAGACCACCCAGGAGAGGCCCCTGCCTGACATACACCAGACCATCATAGTGGCCGGAATGCAGATGCTTCTGAGACTGGGAATTTAGCTAATATATCAGTTTGCTGCGGTTACAAAGTCCCACATGCTGAGCAGCTTAAACAGCAGAAATGTACTCTTTCATAGTCCTGCAGGCTAGAAGTCCAAGACCAAAAAGCTGGTGGGGCTGGTTCCTCCTGACGCTGTGTGGAGAACCTGTCCAGGCCTCTCTCCCAGTCCTGCTGGCCTTTGATGTTCCTGGGCTTGTAGAAGCATCACCCCATCTGTGCCTCCATCCACACAGGGCGTCCCCCCTGTGTGCACGTCTGCCTGTGTCCAGATTTCCCCTTTTTGTAAGGAAACCAGACATCTTGGGTTAGGACACACCCTATAATGATTTCATCTTCACTACATCTGCAACTTCCCGATTTCCAAATAAGGTCACATTCTGAGGCACTTAGGGGTTAAGACATCAACATGTAGGTTGAAGGGACATCATTCACCACCCCCAACAGCTGATGAGAACACACGATTTGCCAAGAGATGCTGGGTGGCTCCGGTGCTTGGGCCTAAAGCGAGGAGAGCCACATCCTATTCTCCCCCAGCCCACAGAGCACCAGGGGTCAGTGGGTTCTCACTGACAGAGTTACTAGAAATACCCCCTCTGACGGTCTGAGTCCTCTTGCTCAGTACCTGGCCCCCCGCTAGTGTCTGGTGTCTGTGCCCCTCCTCTCCACCGTGCCAGAGGGCCCTGCGGGGTTGAGGACGGGGCCGTGCCCTGAAAGGGTGATCCAGCTCCCAAACCATCTCTCAAGGCACCTGGCTCCTCTGCTGAGGGGATCAAGCTGCCTGTGGGTGGGTGCCCCTCCCCAGGCCTGGCAAAGGTGAAAGCTCCAGCCAGCGTTGGTGCTGCACCTGGCCAGCTAGCAGGAGGCTCTATTTCTTTTTCTTTTTCTTTTTCTTTTTAAATAGCATCCAAATGCCTGAAGGAAGCTATATTGTAAATTGTGTTCTATTTCTGGGCCCCAATATCTAAATGAAGCAATGCACCTGTTGGGTATGAAGGAAGAGAATTTCACAGGCCTAAAATAAAGTCAAATGTTTGCCCTTCTGTACTGGCCCATGGAAAATGCTCTTATATTTATATCTGGGCTGGTGCAGGGCAGGGTAGCGGAGCATCAGTTGGCAGAGGGGTGAGGAAAGGCCCGGGCACCTGCCAAGAAACTGACATGGGATGAATGGGGGGGACGTCCCACTCAAAGCCAGTCAGCAACAGCCAGGCTGCGCTGAGGCCACTCACCCCCATGGGCCACGCTGCCTGCCGCACACTGGGGTTCATAGCCTCCCACCCTGACCCACCTTTCTTCGTTATTTGGCCTGATCACAAGAATTAATCCGGATGCCCGTTCGACATTTGGGTTTCTGGGGCCCTCTCTCCACCCCTCCAGAATGAGAATCAGAAAGGGGTCTAAGGCTGGTTCACATTCATCCCCAGGGGATGTTGGCGTGACCAGCTCTTTTCTTGAGGGACTGTTATTTGGCCACTCTCCTACTCAAATCTTTACTCAGCACGTTCCCACTCTTCTCCCTAAAGAGAGCCTTTTGGTCACACTCCCTCAGGCATGTTGCTGGGACCTCTCTCCAGGGTGGGAGTCTGGGACCCATGGAGTTGGAAGCAGGTGTTTTGACGGCAGCTTGATTAAGTTTGGGCAAAAGCAGGAGCCTAAGAAATCAAGAGGATTCTGGGCAAGAGAAAAACCGTATAGTGGGCTCTCCAAGTTTGGGGACAGCAGCTTCCCAGAGCAGAAAGTGCTTCCAGGATGGCACCAGTGTGCCCAGGAAAGAAAATCACTGGGCAGGACAGGCTTCCCCTCTCCTCACTCACAGACACGAGCGCCTGGCCCCCACCAGCTCAGCCCTGGAAACAGCTGCGAGAGGGACACCCAGTCCCTCAGTGGCGGGGCCCTCCGCCCACTCTGTGGGAAGAAACCTCTCTCTTGCAACTACAGACACTCTAAGGTTATGCCTTCCCTTCCAGTTCCCAAAGGGCTCTATAAATATCATTTTGGCCCTGAACATTTGGGGGTTCTCTGCAAGTTTGAAAATAGCCCACTTGTTACTATCTATATTCAGAGAACCCACTCTTGGCCCCACTCGGTAGCTAAGTATAGCTCCCTGGCAAAGTTCATTGGAACAAAAGTTTCCAGGCCTTCATCACCTTGTGGACGGTGGAACATTCCAGGGAGAGCACCTCGGTGGCCAGGACTCAGAGGAGCTCAGAGAGAGGCTAGACCTGATGCGGGGCATAGGCAGCACCCTCCCTCTCCCTGGGCTCAGGCTGAGGAGTCCGAGGGCCCTTGGCAGACAGGGGTGTGCCGGCCACATCCAGAAGGGAGGTGCTCTGATCCGGTGCCGTGAGTCCATCGGGGCCGAGCCAGTTCCATTACGAAGACTTGGGTTCTTCATCCATAAAAAAGAAATCATGCCGACCCCTATTTCGGCATTCAGGAAAGCACCAAATAAACATAAAAGTAAAATCAGACACCTAGGTCAGTGAATATAAAATATAATTACTAACTTCAAACAAATTCTCAGACTTAACTCCTCATAGAATCTGTCCGTTTCTTGATCACCAAGTTCTGGCTGAAGTAACTCTCTGCTCCTGCTGCCCGGCCCAGCCGTGAGCTGCCTGAGAGCTGGTCCAGTGCCAGCCCAGGGCGTCCGTCCGTAGGTGCCAGCAGAGCTCTGGATGGAGCTGAAGTGTGTGAATGGTGCGAAGGGCAAGAGGGGCGAGGGGCAGGAATTCAGACAAGGTCCCTCCTGTTGCGTGAGCATGTACCGTCTCCGGGTATCGAGTAGAGGAGCTGCAGGCTGCCTTTCCACCACATGAATCAGTGCTGCCCCCACCCGCGGTCTCACAGCCAGCTCTCCCTCAGGGGAACCAGGAGCACTGGGGCGCTCCTCACCTCCCCTTCCCCGCACCTCTGTCCCTCAGGGAACCTCCTGTTTCTCTCTTTGGTCCTTCTTGCGAGGATCAGCTGCAGCTGGTCCTTAGTCGCTCCCATTTTGCTTATCCAGCTCAAGACACCCGCTCCCAATTCCTTCCCCCAAAACACACAGCAACCCCTTTGTGGGCAGCTCAGATGAGAGGCCCGAGGGCGGTGGGTGGAATCACAGAGGTTCTTCTGTGAAAGCTGCATATGCACCTTTTGAACAGTAACTGTTTTGACTTTGCCAAAAAGAGAGGCTGAGATTGAGGACACTTGGGGCCCAGGTCCTGCTGCCATTCCTTCGCCGAGCATGGAAGTAGGGACGGCCTGCTGCCCCCAGGACCCTCCCTCGCACCCGTGGGTGAGGGATGGCCTGCTGTCCTGTGGCTCCGTCACCTCTCCTCACAGAGCCAGCACCCTGGGCCAGGAGATGTCACAGGCTGCCTTCAGACCCCTCTCCTGGGGGCTCTGCCTGAAGACGCTGCACGCCAGTTGGCACACATACTGAAAGTGCCCACGCAGTGGGGGTGACGCCGCGCCCACCAAGGCAGCCCAGGCAGAAGTGGACGGGAGAGCCCAGCAGCTACTCTCAAGGGAGATTCACAAAAATGGACTCAACTCACTAAGACTTTGTTTCAGAAAAGAGTT